ATCTGGTATATGGTATAAGGCCAACACTGATTATTTTCTATATTTCTAGATCTGCTGCATCTTTTCACATAATTTGCCTTAAATAAATATATCTTAACTTTTTCAAATGATGAAATGCGTTTGGAAACTTTTAGATATGATCAAAAAGATTGGATTATAGAGTATATAATATATATAATATAATAAAATATCTTTGACTTTGTCTTTGTTTGGCTTACAGCATTGAAGTTAACTTTTGCTTACGATAGAGTACGAAGCCAGCGGGCTAACAGATGGACAGAGGGCAAGAGAGGCGGAGAGAGAGTCAGATAACTGGCAGCAGAACATTTTTGGCCAACCTTTCGCTAACTTCCGGCCGCGTGTTGTAACATCTGCGTCAGCTTGAATTGAACTGCGAGAGTTTATATACACATACATATATAAAATATATATATATATTTTGACTGGTCTTCTAACAGGTGCCCGCTTGCTGTTGTTGTTATCAAGTGCTAAGTGGCCAAATGTTGACTTATCGCAGCGACTTTATCAATGAATTTCCTTTGAATTTTTATTGACTTTTACTTTGCAGCAAGAAATGAAATGAAATGAAAAGATGGCTAAGAAATGATTGTGCAATTTGTTCGTTTATTTTTGTTTTTTTTTTTTTTGCAAAAAAGTTGGCCAAAAAAATGCACAGGAAGTTGAGCAGTTAGCTGAGCAGCTGTTGTTTTTGTTGTTGTTGCTGTTGTTCTAGGAATTTTGAATAGCGCGCATCAGACCTTGTCCTAAGGTCGCGCCTCTCTCCCTCCCTCTCTCTCTGAATATATATATATATATATATATATATATAAATTTATGAATATATAGTCTATATGAATATTTATGGCTGCCACTTGTGGCACGCAACAGAATGTAACTATAGCTTTAGCTATTGTTTATTTATAGATTACACTGAGCGAAATTTGCGAGAAGTTTGTTTCAGCATTATAAATAAATTTATAATAAGTATGTATAAAAATATATATAAAAAAATAATAAAAATAATTAATTGTAAAAAAATATGCAGTACAAAACTGCAAAAAAAAAAAGCAAAATTAAATAAAATGATAAAGAATAAAAGGTTTAGATCAACTTTTTCAGCGTAATTTTGAGTCGTATTTGATTGAATTTATTAAGTGTTCAAACTAAAGTAGAATGTAGCTTAACTATGTAAAATTTTAGTGTAGACAAAGGCATTAAGCAAACACCCTTTATTTATATTTTTCTGTTAGCTGTGTACTCAAGCATAGTTATAGCTCTAGGTATATGTATATTTATAAGGCAAGTACTTAGTGTGTGTGTGTATGGGAGCAAAAATCACAGACGCTGGCAAACAGCAATTATGGCCGTGGCAACAGCAGAAGCAGCAACAGCAACAGCAACAACAACAGCGGCAGCAGCAACATTATGTTGCACTTGAGACACGGTTTGGGCCACGTTCTGTACGCTTTGGTTTGTTGTTTTTTTTTTGTGTTCTTTTCGTCGCTGTTGGCCATCTACATTTCTCGTGTGGCATGCCCTTGCCAAGAATCGTGTTGCCAGTTGTTGTTGTTGGCTGGTTTACTGGTTCTACCACTTTTCGTTTGCCTTGACTTTGCCTTTGTGCCTTTGCTTTTGTGCCTTGCGCTTTGGCCAAATGGCCGACGAGGAGCAACGCCCAAAGTCAGCTTGGCAGAAAGAAACCCAGCCCCAGACCCTGCCCCATCATCATCATCATCATCGTCGTTATGATCAACATCTTTAACTTGATTATGCGCTTCAGCTAGCTGCAAGTTTTCTGCTATTTTTGCTAGAGAGCCAGCCTACCAATCTTTGGCCTTTTGCTTCTGCTTCCACTTCCACTTTGCTTGCTGCTGCTGCTGCTGGTGCTGGTGGTGGTGCTGCTGCTGCTACTTCTACTTCATCTTCTTTTCTCATTTGCTTTTAGTGCCGCATTCGAGAGTTGCTCTCAACTTGTACTTTTGCTTGGGCTCAACCAGAGATTTGTGGCTTAGGCGCTGAGGCACATTGTTATATAATTTGCCCATTGCCAACTTTAACTAACTTTATATATATATATATTATGCTTGTCTGCCTCACTCTCTCCCTCTCTCTCTCTCTGTCTTGCTGTCTGCCTTTGTATGTGCGCTCAAGTGTGTGAAGTTCTTGGCCGCTAACCGCTAAGGCAGAGCCCACTGAGCCAGTGAGTCAGGCCCGTAATGCAAGGCCTGCACAGAAGGAACGTTCAAAACTAACGAACTGTGTGAGCTCTCAGTCCGTCGGTCTGTCTCTGTGTGAGTGTGTGTGCTTAGCCACAGGGTGGCTCTGGTTAAGTTAAAATTAAAGCAAATAAATGTAAGAACTAGGAGCATATTGTAAAGCAAAACAATGCAAGAACTTGTTGGGAATTATAGTAAAAAAAACAAAAAAAAAATTAGCATTTTATTAGTAATGCTATATATGAATCAAGTTTAACAAATGAATAGAGTATTACAAACAATATAGTTTTGCAATACATTGTTTGATTGACTGCCTGATTGTTACTATATATAGGTAAAAGCTAAAATCAGCTCTCTAGGAATATAGAATTGTATTAATAAATGAATATTTGTATTTATATAAAATAATTTTAAATGCTATATTGTAGGGAATATTTGCAGAAGAGTTTGCTTAAGTTTGGCAAAATAAAGTAAAACTCTTAAATATATAAATATTTAGAAACTAAACTTTTGATAAATAAAATAATTAAGTTTTTAATAGAAATTTCAAGAAATAAAGTTGAATATGCTAGGGAATAGAAATATATGAATATATATTATGCTACGAAAAGATTTTTATGAATTCATCACGTATTCAGTGTATTTTTTGTATAGAATTTTATAGTTAAAATAGCTGTTTTTTGCATTTAGTTGTTTTTCGAACTTTTTGCTTATGTAAAAGATTGCCCAACTCAAATTTCAGGTTCTAAATGTTAGCTCTGCTCACAAACAGATACACATGCTCACACACACTGAAGTTGTTTAGTGGCTGCGTGTGATTTGAGCTGCGGTTGGGGTCCACAAGAACGACGAGCAATTTCCACTTCCACATCCACTTCCCCAGCAGTCGGCAAGCCTTAGCTTCGCCTCGCACTGCTTCGCTCTGCTCTGCTCTGCTCTTGCGCTGCTCGCTTCTGTTATGTACATTCTACCCCATGTCTAGTATTCCACTCTATTCCATTCTATTCTATTTTATGCACACCATTCTATGCTATTCGGTTTATTATAGTTATTCCTACATGTAATTATGATATCTATATATATATATATATACGGTTTTTTTGCGCGCGTTAAGACAAAGGGCAGTTAAGCCTCAGACGATGTGAAACAAAAGACTTAGGCAGCGAACTTGACAGCCAACACACCGACACACAGACACACGTAGTGGCAAATCAGTGAAGTGTAGCATAAAAATATCAAATATAGAAACTAAAACTAAAAATAAAATGGGGAAAAAATGAAAAAAACAAAATAAATGGGAAAAAATTCACTTTCAAGAAATTCATAAATTCTGATTAGCTCGAAAAGAAAGTTAAGTTTCGATATGAATATTCTTATAGATATATAAATGTTTAACATATTTTGTTCTTCTCTTTTAAGGTTTTTAACCATGGTCAAGAAATGACTTAATAAGCCGCCTCGTCGGTTATATAAGCCAGACAACTGAACAGACTTCTAGAAATTGTTGTTGCTTGCTTTTATTTTTGGCAATTCAATGAAAGTGATTGATGTTGGCCACAGCTTCGGCGCAGAATCTAAGCAGAAGCGAAGCAAAAATACAAAAAAAAGAGCCAAGGGTCGTGTCGTGTGGGCGTCAACAAATGCGCGAGACGCTGCCTAATTTGATGTTGTTGTTGTTGGTGCTGCTTAGCTTGTAGCTCTGAATTGGTAGCTTGGCCTGTTGTTGTTGTTTTTGTTGTGTGTTGTCTGTTGTAGATAGCCATCAGCATTTGTCTTGACTGATTTGTGGCCATTATATGGTCATAAGCATTTATTTGCCTGTCAGATTTTTTCTTCATTTTTGGCAATTTTCTTAAATAATTTATTTATTTTTTGTAAGTTTTGTAATGAGCTGGAAGTGTAACAATTGTGCAGGAAATGCAAAGAATTATGCACTTTTGGCATGTAATAGAACAGTTTTATGAACACCTTGGAAGCTGTCACTTGATTTAGATAAACAGAAAATATACGATAAGCAAGAATCTTATTGTGCTATTAACTTGAGAATGTATTCTACAATATAATAATATTATTGATAAATTATTATATATTTGCATATTCTGCAGAATTGCAGAGAACCTAAGAGAACGTTTTTAATAACTTCAAAAAACTCAAAAAATCAGCAAACTTTCTTAAGATAAATTCAACGAAAATTCTTAAAACTCAATTTATATATATATGTACATATATACATATACATCAGCTAAATTTCTTCTTTTATAGTAAAATTTCAATTAATAAAAAGAAAAACTTGACTTTCACAGAAATGAAATTAGGAACTCAATTAAAATGAACAAAAAAACTAACAAGGAAAAGAAAAAGAAAGAAAAGAACAATCAGGCAACATAAAGTTATTCCTTACTGACGAACACCCAAGTCTCTATAGTTTTCTTATCCAAAAATTTCTCAATTAAGTTTTTTGAACAGAAATTGATTTGGCTGACAAAGAACTTCCATAAAAGCGCAGAAATTTATTTTAGAGAAAAGTATTAAAACAATTTAAAACTTTTTTATCTCTATTGTTTTTTGTTTGTTTCTTTTTTTTGGATGAATTTTATGTGCATTCTATGGCGCTTGTTAATTTTGGCATTTGCATAAGGCCAATAAAATTGTGAGCATACAAATGACTGAGGCAACGAACTCAGCAATGTTTTGTGCGATGTTTGTTGCCTACGTCATACGATTTGATTAGATTTTTGGGAGTTGACCACGGGTGAACGGGCATCTTCAGATAGATCAACTTACCATTTTGAACTTGCTCGGGCTCGACATTCGAATTGATATTGGAATGAATGCTGTTGCTGCTGGCATGCTCTTGCGATAGCTCGAGACTGTGTCGCGCTTGACCAAAATAATGACGTCGATGATGGAAACGTTTGCGCGTCGATGTGTTTGTCGATGCGGTGGTGGCGGCAATTAAGCTAAGCGGCTGCTCCTGCTCCGCCTGACCCTGCGGATCCGGCTCCGGCTCGGGATTGGCGGGCGTTGGTGTCGGCGTCGGCGTTGGCGTCGGCGTCGGTGTTGGCGATAATGGCGCCTGATCAGCGTGACGTGAGTGCGAGGCGCTCGGACTAAGCGGCGGCACAAGGCAGCGTTCATCATCCTGCGCCTTGTGCTGCAGCAGATTCTGTGATTCCAACAGGCGCTGCTGCTGCTGATGCAGACGATTTTTGATCAAAAAGATTTTCGGCATGTTTGCTCAGTTGTTGTTTTTGTTGTTGCTATTATTGTTGTTATTGCTGTTATTATTTATGTTTATTAACACACACACATGGAGTCACACACACACAAACACAAAGACTTAGACGAACGCGCGCACTTACACACACAGTAAACAAAACACTAATCCAAGTGCGTGTCTGTTTAAAACTGTGTGTGTGTGTTCTGCTGCTGCTGCTGCTGCTGCTGCTTCTTCTTCGATCAGTTAAGATATTTGACAAAAAAAAAATTGGATTTTTATATATTTTTGTATATTGGGTTGAGCGCGGCTCAGTTTAATTTTTTGTGTTTCTTCATCATTTCCAAAGTTTGCTTTCAGTGGCAATCAGATAGATATATTTTTTTGTTATTTATATATGCTATATATTTACGTTATATAGCGCACTTTGAAAAAAAAAAAATAACAAAACAAAAATTTGTCAAATATATTTGATTATATATTTTTTTTAAATAGTTTAATTTCTTGTGCTGGGCAGTTTCTATTTATAGTTTTTCTTTTTAATGTGTAAATATTTTTTTAACGATTTTTTAACGCGTTTTCAGGCTGTTGTGTGTAAATTGTAACCGTTCTTTTATTGTTTTTTTTTTGTATATTTTTTTTGGCAAAGTTATTTGTGGCTGTGGCTGCTGCGACAAAACACGTGCATTCACAACGCCGGCTCGCCTCTTACTGTATTCAAGCGTTGCCAGCCGCTGAGCAGTTAGGCCAAAGTCAGGCAATACCGCTGCGAAGCGTCGCAACGGCAGCAGCAGTGGCAGCGGCAGCAGCGGCAGCGCCAGCTTCTACAACAAACTCAGTTAGTTTTAGAGGCGAATTCAGGTGAGCAACGCAAAACACCGTAAGCCGCACTTGAAACGCACACAAAGAGAGAGCGAGAGCGAGAGAGAGCCAGCTCAAGTTCGCTTTCGTCTGTGAGTCAGGGCAGCGAAGACGAACTTCGGCTTTAGCTTCGGCTTGCCTTTTTTTGCCGCTGCTGCTGCTCTTGTAACTGTGCACACACGGCGAACGGTTTTCAACGGCTGCTCAGCAGCGCTCAGCAGCACCTGAGCCGATGTTGCCGCTGAGAGAGAGTGAGAGTGTTTTGGAGCTGCGTCGTCTGCTGCGATCGTAGCTGTTGCTGTTGCTGTTGTTGTTGTGGCTGTTGCTTGTATTGCCTCTGCTTCATTTCGCTCACATAACGTTTCTCATGCAGTTTTTTTTTCGCTGCGTCTCTTCGTTTTTTTTTTTTCGCCGCTCTATGTGTGCCTCTCAGTGTGTGTGTGTGTGTGTGTGCGAGTCTTGTGTGCGTGCGTGTTTTTCTTGTTGGTTCAGAGTCAAGGTAGAGGTAATGTTTTATCGTCGCTGACGTCGCTGTTGTTGTTATTGCCTGTTGCTTGCTTTGGTTGCCGTCGCCGTCGCTGCTTTGGCCATTTGCCGGTTGGGATGTTTTACTCGTTTTGTGTGTTTGCGTTTGGCTTGTACTTGTTGTACTTAGAGCTGCTTTAAGTTGCTGTTGTTATTGTTGTTGTCGTTGTCGTTGTTGTTGCTGTTATGTCTTTGGTCTTGACTCTGAAATAAGCATTTGCCTGCAAATGATATAAAAAAGTACAATTTATTTTTGTACGTAGATTTTACAGCATAATTGTGCTTGTGCCCAAATGTTGAGCATAAACTATTCTTCATATATGTGTATATGCATATAGAGATATATATATAAACCTATATATACGTATATATATATATTTAAATATATATATATCATATATATATATACTCAGATACAGTTTTCTAGATCTAAAAGTTTTGTAATTAAAAACAAACTAAAACTCGGAAAGTGTTGCTAAGAATTCAATGAATAGATAAAGCAGATATTTGCTAAATAAATATAAACAACGATAATTATAGATGTATATGTTCTATATATAAGTTAAGAAGATTAAATGTGTGTCTCTTAAAAAATAATTATTTAGCTACAAATATTATTTTAACATATTTTTGTATTACACTAAGAATTATTATTTTCGATAAATTATTCTTTTTTAAATTTATTTCTAAAATTTTTTTAAAAATTTAGTTTCAGTTTCGTATATATATATATATATATATATATATATATGTATACAATGTATATGTAGATATGTATGTATGCAATTACGTATCAAAATTGACGACATTTAATGAAGAGTAAATATATATTTTCTGTTATATAGAAACTAAGACTTAGTTCAGCAAGTTTGTTGCCTAAGTCTTTTGTTTTGTGCAACAACAACAACAAATTATATTATTTTATATAATATTATATATATATATATATCTATATGTATATATATATATACATATGTATTCATGTGTGTCTCTTCATAAGTATGTTTGTCGCTTAACTTTTGCTGCGCGAGCAAAGTCTCTTTCATGAGACCCTTAAAGAATTTCATTTCATCATTATCGACAGCAGTGTGTGTGTAGCTACGAAGACGCGTAGATACGCAAGAAGTAGAAGTACAAGAACTGAACGTCAATAAGTACCATATAAGCGAAATTAAACGGCAAAATAGTTGGCAACGCGCCTCGCACTCGCTGCCTCTGTGTGTGTGCGTATGGGCAATAAAATGAAGAAGCAGCGTTGTCAGCGATGTCGGCTTGTAATGAGCGCTTAGAACGCGCTTAGAATGGCAATAAGATTGCGGCGAGAGTTGCTGAGAGCAGTCGTCTCATTTAATATTTACTCTCTTTTGCTTGCGCCCTCTCTCTCTCTATCTCTCTTTCTCTAGCTGTCGTTCTCGCTCTTGCTCTCCATCGGTCTGTCGCCTCCCGTTCTGGCGCACACGAGTGCGAGGGCAACGGCAACTAACGTTATTTCACACACTTTGCTTGCTTCTATCTATATGTGTGTGTGTGTGTCTCTCTCTATGCGTGTGTGTGCCTGGTTGGGCCGTGTGTGATGTAAGCGCTGCAAACGCAGTGAATTCGCCGCAGCCGTAGCGCGCACACCTGTGTGACACACACGCATACAAGCAAGTAGCGCGGCGACGTAACAAATTTACAGCTAGCTTTGTATTTGTGTGCGGCAAACATGTGCGGCGAAGAGAACTAGAGAGCGCCAACTAGATAGAGAGAGAGCGAGAGCAGCAGAGAGAGAGAGAGCGCAACTTCATATACCTGTTGACAGTGGCTTTGACTGTGACTCTGACTTTGGCGTCGCAGCAGTGGCAGTGGCTGCGGCCGAGGCAGCATTTTTAGCTGCGCGCGCTTCTTAACTAATTGTTGTTACTGTTGCTGTTGATGTTGCTGCTGCTGTCGCTGTTCCTGCGGCAACTTCACTCTCACTCAAATGCCGCTGCTAAGCCAAATGCAAGTGCTCTGCCCTTTTGCTGCACCAGCAGCAGCAGTAGAAACAACAGCAAGTGAAAAATCCTGCTAACTCAGATTTTTCTGCATTATTTATAGAATTTGTTGCGATTTTCGGTGCACTTTTTTAGTGCTTATTGAAATTAATAATTTATTAATTTTATTTAATTTAATATTTGAACTATTCTATATGTTTTATATATTTATAAATTTCATATCTAAAATTTGCTTACAGTACAACAACAAAATCACTTGCTAAAATATTACAGAATTCTTTCAATTTATTTGAATTATTTTCGATATTTATATTTTCACTTTTTTTTTAATTTTACTAGAAATATTTTATTAAAAGTTGGAAAATTATGTTTTGCCTCTCTGCTTTATATATACATGTATTTTTTAATTTTTATATTTTTATTTAATTTCACGACACTTTTTTTTTGTTCGTTAAGGATTGGGATAAATTATAATTTGTTTTGCTTAAACAAATTTTAATTCTTGCAGTATTTCCCTTGTCTTATTTGCTTTATTAATATATATTTTTAAAATTATTTATTTAAATTATTTTCTTCAATTACTGTCTTAAATTATATTTTTAATGTATTATTTTTAAATTTTATGTATTATTTGACATATATTTTAAGTATATATTTTTGTTATAAAAATGTTTTCAATCTGTAGTTTTTTGCATGTACTTGCTCTAAATGAGTAATAATTTTTAAGTTTTTTCTCTAATTTAAAATGCTTTCTTTAGTTTTTGTTTTATTGTTTGTTCATTAAATTTTAATTTAAAAGAAAACTTATATTGCTGTGCGCAATAGAATTATATAATAACCTATTTTCTATTGTAGACCTAGGACAGGGTACCAGATACCTGTAGCGAGGGTTGTGTGTGTGTTTGTGTTTGTGTGTGAATTTCTTATCGGTTCTATAGATATATTGTTTGCATATTATGTTTGGCTGTTGCTTGAAATTGCGCTTGAGCACACACACACACATACACACACGCGCGCAAACATAGGCTCAGGCTCTGTTGCTCATAATCGTCATTATTAATATGATTCTTATTATCATTATCACTGTGCGCATAATGATGTTCATTCATTATGCTCTTTGAGCTGTGTCTGTGTGGTAATTGCAGTCTTTAAGAATGTGTTTTTTTTTCGAACTATCTCTCACTCTCTCTTTGTGCTCTCTCAGTCCTTTACTGCCTCTTTCTCTCTCTCGCTCTCATTTACTATCCATGTAATGCCTTGTTTCCTTTTTGGCTTGTTCTTTGGCTCGTTTGCTGCTCTCCCTGATCGCTGCTCATTCCTTTTCTCTCTCTCTGTATGTGTTTTTTTTATATATTTTTATCTTTATTTGCTCAATTGTCGTCATCGACGGCGACGTGCTCGCCTCTCTTTGCTGCTGCTGTTGTTGTCTTTTCGCTAAAATAATGCTAAAGTAAAGTGAAGTAAGAAACATAAGAAGAAGCAGCAGCAGCGGCAGTGGCGGCGGCAAAAAAAAGTAAATGAAGAGCGGCCGGAATACCTGTTTTACCTGTTTGTATACCTACTAACGTACTAACACTGTTATAGCGGATTCACGGCGCACACGCCTGACAACAACAACAACAACAACAACAGCAGCAGCAGCAGCAATGCGCTTGAAGACGTCGCAGCCAAGCCCGAGCTGCCA